CAGTGCTTTCAGTTCTCAAAATATCCATTTGATGTGTTTTGAGGTAAAAGATGGTACATGTATATCATGGAATGCTAAGTGCAAAAGAAAAGCGATATGGTACAATATTAGTAATGTTACCGCAACCATCGGTGGTATTGGGAAATTTTACTTTATCCTTTATGCTTTTCTATATTGTTGAGATATTTACAATAAGCATATATTACTTAGAGAAAACAGGCAGTTTTCCTTTTAAAAGTTGCTAGGTAGCCCTGGTTAGGTAGCTCAGTAGGTTAGAGCATCAACTCCAAGGTTGCAGGATTGATCCCCAGTCATGGCACACAGAAGAAACCAATGAATGCCTAATTAAATGGAACAATAAATCAATGTCTCTGTGTGTGTGTCTTTCTCACTCTCACTCTCGCCCTTTCTTGCTCCCTCCCTCTAAAAAAAAATAATTGCTAGTCAATCCATGGTGTATGTTGTGCATTCTATCTATCTATCTATCTATCTATCTATCTATCTATCTATCTATCTATCTATAAATATATATATATATATATATATATATATATATATATATATATATATATATATATTTCAGAGAGGAAAAGAGAGGGAGAGATAAAAACATCAATGATGAGAGAACCACTGGTCAGCTGCTTCCTGGAGGCCCCTGACTAGGGATCAAGTCTACAACCCGGGCATGTGCCCTTGCCAGGAATTGAACCTGGAACCTTTCAGTCCACAGGCAAATGTTACATCCACTGAGCCAAACCAGCTAGGGCAAGTATGTCCTGTCTTAGACAGTTCTTTATTTGCAATGGACTAGATTCCCTTGCCAGCCCCCATCTACATACTGTCCCAGGGGAAGTTCCTGAAATGGGCTGGCTGCACTTTCCTCATCTGTCACTACCTACATCACAGGGCTGTGGAGCTTTTGGGGAGTATGTGAATATTAAATAACGTGCTGTGTTTCAAATGTATCGGGCTGTTTTTAAAGTGTCTAAAGTGTCTCTGTTCTCCCATGCTTCCTCCCATCCTTCCCTTCCCTCGCCCCAGGCTGAGCTCTGAGCACTGCTCCTGGCTGTGGGGAGAGCTGCAGGAGAGCCCATGAGAGGACATGGCCACCCAGGACAAAGGCCTTTTTACGCTGAGTACACAGTCATTTGCAAGGCTAGGCCCTCGGCTGACCTCAGCCATCCGCCAGTTACGCCTGACTACACCGGACCCACCCAGCTGACCAGAGCATCATTAGAAATCTTTAAAAAGTGATCGTTATTTTGAGCCACTGAGTTTTGTTGTTGTTGTTGTTGTTTTTTTAAATATATGTTATTGATTTTTTTACAGAGAGGAAGGGAGAGAGAAAGCTAGAAACGTCGATGAGAGAAACATCGACCAGCTGCCTCTTGCACACCCCCTACCGGGGATGTGCCCGCAACCAATGTACATGCCCTTGACTGGAATCGAACCTGGGACCTTTTAGTCCACAGACCGACTTGAGCCACTGAGTTTTATTAATAAAGTCACTTATCACTGGGTGACAAATAACAGATATGAGACATCTGGGTTTTTTAAATAAATAATTTTCCCCATCACGTCTACCGCATGAGTGATAAATTTACTTAGGATACTTACATAGATTTGTTTTGTTTTAAATATAACCTTTGAAAATGCATTTTGTATAAATGTTTGTTGTTGGTGTACAGGATGCAATTGATTTGGGGACTTTGAACCTTACTACATCTGTTAAGTCTGACAATTTGTCTGGATTTTCTCTTGGGTTTCCTCTGGAGAAAATCATTATTTGCAATGTGATCCGTGTGCTAGTGGTCAATATCTACTGCACTAGCTGAGGTGCAGGCGGCAGCTTACTGAGTTCTCACCACAGAGTTGGTGCCCTCTGGCTGGTCCGGACTGCAACACAGACTCCCCGTGCCCCTCAATAGGCCCATTCAGTTCTGGGGCAGGTGGGGTTCTCCTATAAGCTGGCAGTTTGGGTAAGGACCCTGATCTGTCACATTACTGATCTCTTCTTTCATCTGTTCTTTGTCTGCCATCCTGTTCACTCTGGTTTCCTTCTGCTACCCTCTTAATCCTCCCCATCCACCCCCTCTCTTCCTGCCCCACCCCCACACTAATTCTCTGCCCTGTTTCTTCCAGTTCTGGGCCAAGCAAGGCACCCAAAGGACAGAAAATTAAACTGCAATTTCAAGTCATCACTTCCAATCACACTTACGAAGTCCCCATCCCCACCTAATGCCACAGACCGGCAGGGACTCAGCAGCAGAGAAAGCCAAACCAAACCCCCCTAAAGATGACTATGGGCCTCCCCACTGCGGGAAGGTCCCCATGAACTCAGCGGAGTGCAGAGGTTTCACCAGAAACGCCCACAGCCCTACAAAAAGCCAAGGTGTCCCTTCTGTGTGAGATCTGCGCTTGGGGTGCACAGAAGAAAGGGGTCAGGTCAGCCGGGCACCCGGAGAATAGGCCCAGAGGGCCATTCTGAGTCCCCAGAGTTCTAACAATTACATGAAGTTTTAGCCTGCGCCTGGTGACCTGGCCCTGGCTGCCCCCCTAATCTCTGCTTTCCTTGTCTCCACCACAGAACCCCAGTCTCGGGAGCAGAAATCCCTCCAGGTCACCCCAAGGGCCATGTTCTCCCACCTGCTTGCTTCCTGCAGCTTCCTGACTGGAAGCCAGTCCGTCCCTCCCTTACACCCCCCCTCACCCCCACCTCCCCTCTCCAGTGGCCCCAGAATGGCACCTGGCTTTCCGTAAAGCTTACCTACCTAGACAGGCCCTTGCCTTGAAAAGATACGTGCCTGCCCCACACTCATGCTCAGCCCAGCTTTCCTGCCCTGAGCACCCACCACACCACCAGTGTCCAGGCCAGCTCCCCTCCCCACGGAGCTCTCTGGCCCGGGACGCCAGCCTCACCCTACCTGCTGCAGGCACAGACGGCGTTCGAGTCAGGCTTGAAGGGACTCTGTCACCTGCCTGTGACCAACGCAACAGGAATTGGCACAATCCAAGCTGTGGGGTTGTGATGGCAAGTGCCCCTGACTCTAGGGGTTTCACTCAGTGGGAAGTGAGGGTGCAGGTCTGGGAAACATGCTTTGGGTTTAGGGTGGCCGACCCCCCAGCAACCTGCCACCTCATAACACCGGCCTGGGGCCACTCTATCCTGATCTACAGTCACCTCTCACCCCAGCCGCTGTCTCTCTCTCTCCCTGGGCACCAGGAGAATGGACCGCCTGCACTGGAGGGTTATCAGCTGACTGTTCACCAGAGATGCCAACCACGTGGCCTACAGCCAAAGAAAAGGAGTCTGATCTAGGGATGGGAAATTGGGGACCAGGGTCTCTGGGCAGGAGATATTTTATTCAGATGGCTCATCAGTCCTCCACGTCCAGAAAAGGAGCCGCTACTACAAGGATGGTGAGAGCACCACTCTCCCCATGGTGCAATACCCCTTGGGGGAATGACACCATCTCAAAATGCTGGTGTCAGAGGGTTAACACTGCCAACGGATGAGGTGGTTGTGAGACAGGAGAGGAGACACTGTGCCAGGTTAGAATGTGGGTGGCTCCAGCCAGCACTGCTCCCTCTAGGAGAAGCAGCCCTCTCCACAGACAGCCCCTGTGATCAGTCAGCACCAACTCCCCCGATGGGAGGCCAGTGGAGCAAGCCCAGTGTAAGCGCACAGGGGGGACTGCTGGAGAGGTTCATAATTTCGATTATAAGAGCCCTTAGTGTCCACTGCATAGAAGAGCCAGGAGAAGGTGGAAATGAGGTTTATTGTTCCACCGAGGAATTAGGACAATGGGCAATATTCACTCTAAGTCAGCAATGTTCCATCCTCTTCCCTGGAGGGCGGGTGTGGGGTATGAAGTGGAGGACGGTGGGGCGCACTATAGGAGACTTCTAAGGCATTAGGTCAGATGCTCACTCTGGCTCGGCTGAGAGGAAGTGGGCTGACCTCCCATTTCCACAGATGAGTGTGGAGGGAGGGGAATCAGTGTGGACTTGAACCAAAGTAAACAAACAAAGCCCACGGAGACCCAAAGAAGAAAGCCAGCAGCCCGGCACCTTTGTTGTACGTGACAGACTGGGGAAGCGGAGACTCAGAACACGGCGCCAAACCCGAGGCCTCCCAAAGGCAGGTGCGTTCATCCCACATCACAGAGGGGCCCTGTGTCTCATCGTTCATCAAACACGTTATGAGGAAATGGAACATTGGCAGCGAGCTTCTCAAAGTGTAATTTCCTCTAAGAGAAATTTACGGCCTGCACTTACTCCCCATTAGACTGCGTCTCACTTCTTTTATCCGTTTATTCATCAAGACAGCCCTGGGCTCGGGCCAGCCCTGGGAACGGGCAGGTCACCGGGGCAGGGACCTCGGGGGATGTTTCCTCCTGGCTCAGTGGAGTTTTCCAGATCATGACGGGAACGGCCGCGGTGCGTTTTGCAGGAGGTGTTCAGGGATTTCCCGGAAGGCAATTCACAGCGCCAGCCCCAGGGGCTACGCTGGCTATAAAATGAACATCTGAAATGTACTTGGAAATGAAATGATTTTCTGTTTGCCATATGGGGTTTGCGATTGCCTCTCCACAAGCAGTGCTTCTGTTGCTTTTACGGCCAGGTTCAGTTTCTTGTGTAGTGATGTAATAAAGGGGTGATTGAGAGCCGGGAGCGAGGACTTCCGAATCAATGAGCAGCTGCATCTCTCACCTGCTACGTCCCTCTCCCCAGGACGCTGGGCCCATTTCCTGATTTCCAAGTCACCAGCGAAGTCCCAAAACTGGGGACACAGGCACAGCTGTTCCTCTCTTTACCACAGAGTCCCCGGACCTGCCGGAGAGAGCACCCCAATCCCTACTCCGGGCTTTCCCCAGATCTCTGGGGCGCGTCACTCTTGCTGTGAATAATGGAACTTCAAGGTTATCCTGATGAAATGGAAACACACCTGATAGTTACGACTTCCCTTTGGGGACTGGAAGGAGCAAAGAACATCTTACCTCGTCTTAAGGATATTCAGAAACTGCAAAATTTCTGAAAACTGGATCAGTCTGAGAGCTCTTAAAAATCTCAAACCTGGAAAGAGAAAGGAAACAGAGACATATTATTTTCAGTGGGTGGTGATGTTCGCACAGTGTGATTTACAGCTGTCAGGGGTGAAGGGAGATAAAGTCCTTGCAGAAGGACTGCCTGTACTTTGGACATAGTCCTTCATGCCGATTCTTCCCTGGTTTAATTTCAGCTGCTGAACTGACTCGTTAAAGGAAGCTGTTTGGAGTCACTGCGAAGGAAGGCCCGGTGGGGAGAGCCATTTAAGGAGGTCTCTCACGTGTCCATCTGAGGCAGCATTGTAAAATTACCGTGTTGCCTGAGAGGATTTTGTCTCTGAAAATGACTGGGAATAGCTCACGGTAAGCCTCGGAACCCTGATGCTAAGAGAAAATTGGGAACAAATCTGATAACCTGATGTCTTTGATGGATTTCTAAAGCCTTCTTCCTGATAAAATGAAGAGGGCTGCCCACTGCATTGTCTGTTCTCTAGGCTCGCACACCCCATAACTTCAGGAATCAAAAGTCTATAATTCCACTTCTACCAAGTGTCATGATAAACCTTCCTCCTTTCTAAATCAGCAACCTTTCTTGGAGAAAGAGCCAGCGTTTCCAGGTGGCAGAAGAGAGTTGAGACAGGGGAGAGAAATACAACCAAGGATTAGAGAAAATTCAAATGACTGTTGTTTTCTGCTGGCCAAGGGTGAATGTATATTTCCACTGAGATCAGACTTGTGAGTCTGAAACATTCTGAGTCCCTGATGGGTTTTAATGCTTGGCCTACATGCAAGAGACTGGCTTACTGGGGGCCAAGGGTTTGAGACACTTTCAAGGTCACATCCTCTCCCAAGGGGTTTTCTCAAGCAGATTTTCCTAAAGCATTTGATTCAGTGTCTTGAAGTGCTGTGTGCTGCTGAGAGCTGAGTGAGCTAAGTTGTTGACAGTGGGAGGCTTTTTCTGCCCCATATGGGAGGCAGTAAGGGGGCATCTAATGCACAGTGATGGGAAGGAGTGGTAGTGAGTCAATAGACACCCAGGATGAATCAAAGAAAGAGGACAGACCGGAAGTTCCCCCTTAAAGCACCCATTGGGCCCAGTTAGATCATTCCTTATTCAGGCATAAGGTGCCCAGGAAAAGCCCATTTAAAGCCCATGGGCGTGCAGGGGTTCCTATTGTACTGCACAAAAGGGAAGAAAGGACAATGGCTCAAAGGGAAATTTTCTCATCTGACTAGGATTCCTCTTCACGAACAAAAGGTTTTTTCAGAAAAAAAAAATTACCTCCTATTTTAAACTAGAGGCCCAGTGCACAAAATCCGTGCATTGGGGAGGGGGTGCCAGCCTGCACCCTCTCCAATCCGGGCCCCCTAAGCCAGCAGCCGGACTTCCCTCTCACAATCCGGGACTGCTGGCTCCTAACCACCTCTGCCTGCCAGCCTGGACACCTGTCACTGCCTCTCTCTCCCCTGCTGGCCTGGTCGCCCCTCACTGCCTCCCCCCAGCCCGGTCGCCCCTCACTGCCCCCCCCCCAGCCCGGTCGCCCCTCACTGTCCCCCCCCCCCCCCGCCAGCCTGATTCCCCCCGCAGCCTGCTGTTCAGTCATCTGGCTGTCCCTCACTAAGCCCCCCTGCTGGCCTTGTCACCCCACACAGCCTGTGTTTGGTTGGCCTTTCAGTTGTTTCGGTCGTGACGGCCCCTGGCTTTTTATATATTAGTATGATTTTTATATTGTTTTTAAGAAGAAAGTGCAGAAATGAGAAGGGTGTTGATGAAATGAAAATTCGGGAGCCCAAAGCCAAGTCGGAGCCACACTGATGAAAGGCTGTGGTGACTCTGCTGAGAACTGAGCTCGACACGGAGGACAAAACCAAGACATCATCCCAGAAACAGGAACAATGGGGACGGGGAGGAAAAACATGCCACTTAAGAAAAGATCAGTGGAGAGAAGATCACAGAGATCCAACCTGTGAACAAAATGTGTTCCAGAGGGAAGTGCAGGTGAGATCATCAGTTCAGCCAGGACATAATAAGAACACACTTCTAGATATGAAAAAAAATGACATGGGCTTCAAAGGGAAAACGGGTGGCCAGCTCTTGGAAACCAATGCTGTGAAGTATGACTTTGTTTCTTGTAAACATCAAGTATTAAAATAAAGTAAAAAATAAAGTGTCAGGGTGGGGAGAGGGTTACCATTAATGCAACTAGAATTGCATTGTGCACTGTAAGCTTCCAATGACACCCAAGCAGCACTCAGAATTTTAGGACTGCATTTGTACATCCAATAAAGTAGTTGTTCAACAATAAAGGCAACAAAAAGATATTTTCAAATACCCAAGGTTTCAGAAAATACAGTTTGTGCAAAAGTATTTTCAAATAAGTTTTCAACCCTTAGTTAGTCAGAATGAGTCGCGGAGGCTGGAAAGTGTATTTTTGTCAAATTGTCTTGTTGGTCCCAATGACTGACCTCACTACAGCACCCCGGACACATGCTGCTGAAAGATAAAATAATAAATTTAGAAACTCTGGGTGGAGATCGGCTGGCAGCACTGAAACCCATCAAGGGCATAAGGATTCTTCAGTCATGCATTAGCCACCGACAGGTTCATTCTGAAAATCCTGTGTGTGCATGCATATATATTTTTTTCCACTCATGGAAACAAAAATAGAATACAGATGCCATAAACTTCAAAATGGATTTCTTTCTTCTTCTCTTTAAGGGATGCATTTGCATCCTGTATTGCTTGTTTGTCGCTCACTGCCCTATAAAGTGACTCACAAAAGTAAACGAGAATAAAAGCTCTCCTTTTCGATGAGGTATATGAGCATAAGGGTAGGAGCAAATGGATGCGGCAGCCACGTGGCCCTGTACTCTTGCTAGATAGAGGTAAACCATTTGCCAAGAAAAGCAAGTAGGGAGACACAATACGATGAATAATGCAAAAAAAGAGGAAAACAAGCTGGCTCCCAGGAGAACAGCCATCCCCGGGAGGAAACCCGAGAGCAATGTCCCTGCAAAGGGACCGGGGAGCAGGAGCAGCGTCCTCAGGGATGGGACAGCAGACGGCTGTGCTTATTTGAAGGCCTGTGCTGGTCACATCCACGGCATAGGTTTTCATGAGCACAAATGAGTTAACAAAATTCAAAATAGGGTTTAGCCTGTGTTTGTTCCCTGAGGAAGCCAGACTCTCAGGAGAAGTGGTGGTCTCAAGCGCGTATCTTCCAGGCACAGTTCATAACAGCCCCTTGCTGCTTCCTGCCCTGAAGCCTGGTGGCCTGTTCCCATCACAGCAGCCAGCATAGGCTGTGAGAAGGTGGGATGGATGATGTCACGCTTCCGCTCGAAATCCTCCAATGCCCTGTTTCACACAAAGCCAGAGTCCTTCAAGGACCTAAAGCAAGGCACCCCATTTCCTTCTGGCCTCCTTGTCCTGCTCCCACTTCTGCTCTGGTCTGGCATCTTCTTCAGTGACCTTGGCTGTGCAGCAGGCTCCTGCCTCAGGGCCTCTGCACACGCGGTCCTCTCTGCCTGAACACTCGGCCCAGATGGGCGCACGATGTGTCCCCTCACCTCCTACAGGTGCTCACTCATGTCACTATCTCAGTGAGACCTTCCTTGGTCACTGTGTCCAGAACTGGAGCTCTCCCCTCGTTCTCCCTCCTGTCAGAGTAGACAGTTAATTGTTAAGGAAAGAAAAGAGAGCAGACTAAGTCTGATAAAGTCGGGAAACAGCAGTTTCACAAGTCACCCTGGTGAGTCACCAGCATCTTTTAGGACATCATCCTCTCTTGTGGACTAGGCAGGGCAGTGGGTCCCAGACTTTGAAAACACAAGGCTGCAGGGCAGTGGGTCCCAGACTTTGTTGCCATGGCAACCACCTGGGAAATATAAGATAGTACTGATGCCTTCCACACCCAGATACTCTGGTGTAATAGGTCTGGGGTGCAGCCTGGGCAGTGGAATTCCTATAGCTCCCCAGATGATGCCATGTGTGGCCAAGTTTGGGAATACTGCATTAGGGTATCTTTTCTCCTTAACTTCCAGCTTGTTAATAAAGAAATTAACCAAACTTAATATATCCATTTATCATGGTTAACATTGTGCCAAAAGGACCAAGTTTTAATATTCTTCCCACACAACAAATTTCCCTCTTCCTGAGTAATCATTTGAGTAATCTGAAACTGGATCTTTACTTTTATTAATTTTAAAAATATGCTAGGTAACTGTAAGTTAGAAGAAATCAATAGTATATTGAGAGTCTATAAAGTAATGCAGTCAGTTTAAGATTTTAGTGAAAAAATGATTTTAGCTGAAACCGGTTTGGCTCAGTGGATAGAGTGTCGGCCTGCAGACTGAGGAGTCCCAGGTTTGATTCTGGTCAAGGACATGTGCCTTGGTTATGGGCACATCCCCAGTGGGGGTGTGTGCAGGAGGTGGCTGATCGATGTTTCTCTCTCATCGATGTTTCTAACTCTCTATCTCTCTCTCTTCCTCTCAGTAAAAAATCAATAAAATATATTTTTTTTAAAGTCAGCAGGCAGAAGTAGTTAGGAGCAATTAGGAAGGCAGTTAGGTGAGCAGTTGGGAGACAGCAATACTGGACTCTGAGACGGATCCCAGACTGGAGAGGGTGCAGGCTGGGCTGAGGGACACACACCCCCATGTAAGAATTTCATGCACTGGCCTCTAGTTAAAATATAAATTGAAAAATGTATTAATAGCTTCCCCTCAAGGATCCTGCACCTATATACTTTCTTTTTAAATTCTTTAAAACATTTACATATGATTGAAATGCTAAACATTATAATACAAAAATAGATGGAAAAAGTTAAAATAAATAAATAAATAAATAAAATTTCCTGGGGTCGGGGGGGAGGAATAGATGGAAAGCTGCTACACTTGTATCATACAGTAAATATAAACCTAGTACCCAAAGTGACTCTCAAAACACAAAAGTAAAATACAGTGGAACCTCTGTTCTCAAACTTAATTCATTGTGGGAGTTTGTTTGAAAACCAAATCATTTTT